GTGGGTGATGGGCATTGAGGAGAACACCAGTTGGGATGAGCACTGGGTGTTGTATGGAAACCAATTTGACAAATTTCATATTAAAAAAAATGAAAGTCTAAAGTAGGCTGTTTTTTTTTAAATGTTTATTTTTGAGAGAGAGCATGAGTGGGGGAGGGGACACGTAGACGTTTCCTTTGCAGGCCTTCTCGGGACTAGAAAGGTCTCTGCGGTCCAGGATTACGGGCATGTTGCAGTAGCCACGGCTCTTTTGTTGCCTGGACAGGAATCAGCCCCGTGACGCGCTCCGCCCGGGCGTCCGTCTGTCCCTGTGGCTCGCAGTCCGGGGCTCTTCCCTGGCGCGCAGGGCCCTCGGGGCCTCCCGGGCGCTTCGGGGGCGCGGTTCACGGCTCACGGCTCGGCGGGAACCTTCCCCCGAATTCTTGCCGACGCTCGGCCGAGCCAAGTCAGCCCTTCCATCTATGAGGTTCCTGTCGCCAGAGGCAGAAAGAGACAAACTTGATTTTAATCCTTTAGGCATTTCCTGGTGACTTAAATGACTTTTGTTGTACATTCAAATCGTGAATCAAATTTGAATCCATTTTCATCTCTTCCAAACTTTTAACCAGTTGTCCTGATGCCATCGCTCAATATCTAAGGTCTTTTCCCTGCTGATTTTCCTTGAAGTGCGACATTTGGTATCTGCTCTGTGTTCGATTTGCTGGCCGCGCGGGCCTTTGTCACGCGCCTCCCAGCCTCGTAGGGCACAGCCCCGGGCCTTGTGTTTTTTGTTCAGAATCTTGTAGGTTAAACTGCAGATGAATTTCAGAATTTCTGTGCTATGCTTTGAAGAGCTCCTTTAGAATTTTGACCGGATTTTTGGGAAGTTTCTGTGATGCATGAGGATTTCTTCAACCAGGTATTTCGTAGTTTGATTGTAATTGTGAATCTGACTCTAGCTGGTTGTCGCCGCTGTAAAGGAGACAACTCACTGGGAGTGTCTCGGGAGACCACGTCTCCCCCAGTTGTGTGCGAACGGCGACACTTGGCCCGCGTTGGCGCTCGGTAACTATTTGTCAAGGGAGTGAACAAACGTTTGTGTGTGCGTGGCATCGTTCCCTTTTCCTTTGTTTGGATGGGTAAGTCGAGATAGGTCTCCAGGAAGGTCACGGAGTCCAAGCAGGTGAGGGTGTGCTTTGATGGGCGGGGACCCTTTACCAGGGGAGCAAAGGGCTGGGATCCAGGGGTAGGGGAATGTGGCTGGGGGACGAGGCCTGAGACCTGCCCCTCCCCCAGTAGCACGCCCCCTGCCGGGAGCGTGGGCCCTGAGTGAGCACGTGTTGAAATGAATTCACTTGGACCGATTAATGCGGGACAGTCCTGAGCCCTGGGGACAGAGACAGGCTTGGTGGGGAGCGTCCCGGGGTCCAGGGGAAGGGACAGGTGGGGTCCTGCTCCATCAGGCGTGGGGGCTTCTGGGTTTGGGGCTGGTGGAGGTCTGGGGACAGAGGCCCGCGGGAGCAGCTAGGGCAGACTAACGAGGGACACGAAAGGAGTGCGCCCGCCTCTGTGGGAAGCTCACCTCGGGTGCGTGCTGGTGTGAGCTCTGGAGGTAGCGTCTGTGCTGGGCTTTGAGGGACGTGTAGGAGTCACAGAGACCGGTGTTCTGGGAGACTCGGTGTGGTTCCCGTGAGTCTTCAGACAGATGGTGGTCACATGTCTCATGCAGGCACCTTCTGTGTGCTGAGCCGAGCCTGGGCTCTGCCCCTTGCAGCATGATTGGAATGCCCGTGTGGCTCTCCAGAATTTGGGATCAGAGCATTTAAATTGGGGGTGGTGTGGGGCAGATACCCACTCTCTCCCAGTCCTGCTCCCCACCCCTCTGGCCGGTGGGTGCTTGGCAGATGTGGTGGTGATAGGCTTTAGCACCGACTGGCTCGTTTGTCACCAGCGGGGCTGGAGCTCAGCGGTGAGCTCCTGGTGATAGACTCGCTGGGGTGTTCTGTGACACCACATCACTTGGGGGTCCTGCTGCCCCGCCCAGGAAGGGCATCTGTGAGCCAGATGAGCCAGGCCTGTTGTTGTGGTCCCTGAAGAGTGTTGGCATCTCTGTAGGTAAAGAACTGAGAAGCCTTCTCAAGTCACAGTGTCCTTGGGAGGAACAGTGGTGGCTGCCCCACACTCAGGAACCTGCTGCCTTTGGCCTGCGTTTCAGTCCTAGGCCACTGCCCACCCCCTGGGTTTCTGCCAACCTTGGCTCTCAAAACGGACTGAGTTTACTGTTACCTCTATACCAGTGCTGTCAACATGAATACGGTACGAGCCGTAACAGATGCTTGTAAGTTTTCGGATACAGATGAGGTAGCTTTAATATATGTTATTTAATCCACCGTGTCCAAAATATTTTCGATCGTGTGGCACCGGCTGCGTTTCGCATGCTCAGTGGCCACTGTGCTGGACCTGGCAGATCGGGACCGACGTTACGTGTCGGACCCAGACTGGACCCGGGCGCCTGAGAGATTTCGTTTGTGATTCTGATTCAATCCGGGCTGAGTCAGGTCGGATCTCCGTTCAGTCCTCCATGCGGGGAGACCAGAGAGAGAACACGGAGGCGGTGCTTCGACTGACGGGGCCGCCCTGCCTGCCAGCCTGAGCTTTTGTCCCTGGTCTGAGCGCCTGGCAGCAGGGCCCTCGCAGTCTCCTGTCTCCCTGATGGCAGCACACGGGATCAAAGTCGGGGTGCTTTCAGTGATTTCTGGATCCTCTTTACTTATTTATGCTTGCTTGTTCGTTATTTTGAGTGAGGGTGCGTGAGTGAGGGAGGGGCAGAGAGAGGGAGAGAGAGAATCCCAAGCAGGTTCTTCACAGTGCAGAGCCCGATGCGGGGCTCAAACCCACAAACTGTAAGACGATGACCTGAGCTGAAACCAAGAGTTAGATGCTCACTGGCTGAGTCTCCCGGGCGCCCCAAAAGGGAAGGAGCCCCAGTCAGTCATTGCCTCGAGGTGGTTTTGGGTGCCTTCCCGACCAGGTTTTTGTAACCCGAGTAGTAAGTCAGACGTTGAAAACATGTGACTTTAACGTTTGTTTTTGCCCAGGAATTTAGTGAGAGATACTCACGAGGTTACTGACTGTTCCCCCGTCAGATGTTTCCCTTTAAATCGGAGCATTCTCGCACAAGCACAGCTTTCGCCATGTCTGCGGGGGCTGGGAGAGAGGCTTGTGCCGGGTTCGGTTGCCCTGTGCCCTTTCTGGCACTTGCTGTCCTTGGTGTTAAAAGTTTTAGCCATTGGACGTGCCGCCCGGATGTGCAGAGGTATTTGTATGCTCTCCAGGTGCCATCAGCTGGAACCACTGTCGTTTGATGTGATGCGGCCAGGGTGCAGCCACACGTGCACGAGGTGTGAGTTCTTGAGACAGGACGTGTGTGTGTGTGGCGTGAAAGGGCGGCGGGACCATGCCGTCCTCCAGGCTTCCGTGGAGGGTGTCGTGTCATCTTGGGACGTGGGAAGATTCTCATCAGGGCTGGATTCCTGGTGTTCGTGCCGTGTCCTGGCCGGGTGAGCAGAGCCGCTCACCCTGGCGGGGAGACGTCCTTGGCCTGTTCTTCCTGACGCTCCCCTCGAGGGGGGCAGGGTGTGCGTCTGTCCTCGCGGGACGTGGTTTGTCCCGGCCCTCGGTCCCGTCGTTGGCCTTGACTCGCTCTCTCCTTCCTCTCGTAGGCTCCTAACCGCCAGCTCATGGCCTACTGGCTACAGGAGCTCCAGCAGAAGAGGTGGGAGTACTGCAACGGCCTGGACGCCGCCACGTGGGACAGCAGAGCCTCCCCGGCCCCGGGGGACTTCTCGCAGGGTCTGGTAGCCAGAGACAACTCAGGTAAGTCAGAGGCGGGGGGCCGGTGGCACTTCCCTGGGCCTGGCCGTGTGACCGGGCAGGGCAGGACAGCGTAGAAGCCCGGAACAAAAGTAACGGCGATGACCCCTCCGATGGCACTCTTGGCGCCTGCGTGCTTCCTCGCGCAGAATCCCGTTCCACCCGATAACGACCTCGGGGCTCAGCGAGGTCCGTGCCCAGCACCCTGAGCGGACTGGCGACGGGGGTCTGAGGGCCGTGACCCCCGTCCTGACTGCAGGGCCAGACCCCGTGTCTGCCCCGCTGACGTGCTCGTGGCCCGAGGTCACCCATGTTTGTGTGCACTTGGTTCTCGACGTGCTTGGCCCGTGACACCGTCACGTCCCTGAGGGAGAGTGACCGTTAGATGCGATTCCGTATTCTAGGTCTGTGGCATCTCCACGACGCTGGGCGATTCGAAGTGTGGAGGTCACGTGGCTTTACGTTCAAATATCAGACTTGCGGCTGCAGGGTCTTCTCGGGCCTGGTGGTGCGGAGGCCCTCACGGAACACAGCAGGTGGCCGTTACTCGCGGACCATCCCTGCAGAGAGCGTGGGCGGGCCGTGTTCGTGGCTCCTGTCTCCCCGCGGCGCGGAGGGCCGCCGGGAAGAAGCAGGCCGCCGAGGCCGTTGCACCCGCGTGTCTTGACGATCAGAGACGCCGACGCCGGAGCCTGGCCAGCGAGGGCCGCTTCTCACGCCTACGGAGACGTGTGGCCGGTGCTTCATGACGCCCGCGGGCCTGCTCGGTCCCCCGCCAGCCGCAGCCAGTCCCGGCATCCTCGCGGCCCTCGTTTCGGACATGGGTGCTGGGACTCCTCCGAGTCTTCCCTCTGCAAACCCAATGTCCCGCCTGCCACGTGTTCCCCGACCACAGTGTCTTCTGCAGCTCGGCTCCGGTCAGTGAGGCACGGCTGAACGTCGGCCATGCCTGTCCGGTGCGTGCTTCTCACGGACGCCGACACCGAAGGGACGTCCCTGCGTCTAGTGCCCAGTTCTGTGTCGGCTGGGGTGTTGGGAGCCGCCGTTCTAGGACTTTTGATGAGAAGAGGCTCCGTAGCTCGGCCTGGATGCCACGTGAGCATTGGAAACGCTGCAGGGAAGCGGGCGGACTGGTGCCGTGAGTGCCTTGTGCTCCTGTTTCTTTGTTCAAGTTTATTATAATCTGTGCACCTAACACGGAGCTTGAACTCACAACCCCGAGATCAAGAGTCACAGGCCCCGCTGACCGAGCCAGCTAGGCACCGCCTGGTTCTTTGTCCTGAGGACACAGTGGGTCTGACAGACCCAGGGCGCCAGACCGGAGGGAGTAGGTCTGTAACATAAATCCTTCCTTTCTTGGAGTCACGTCTGTGGCCCGGGAGCCGAGGAAGCATCTGAAGCCCATGGTTGGTTCTCTTTATTTGGTTTGGGGCCAAGCGGTGCCTCTGACGTTTGCTTGTTTGTTCAGCAAGGTGGGCACGCAGGGTGGGCCTGGTCCCTCCTCTCGCGACGTTCCGGTCACGCTGTGTGAAGATAAAGTCAGGGAAGCGTGGGACGGGAGGTGTGGGTAGCAGGGGTGCATGGGACGGAGCCCACAGCGGGTCCCCTCCGTGGAAGCGGAGTCTAGGCCGGGGCCTGAGGATGACCTTGGGGGGGGGGGAGGAGTCCAGCGAGGCCCCCAGCAGCTGCCTTTGAGGAGCCAGAGGGGGCCGAGCGGGGCGTGGGGGCAGCGCGAGAGCGCCTCTCCCTGTGGGTCTGGCAGTCGGGGCTGCATCCTCAGGGCAGTTCCGTGCGTAGACATGACTCTCACCACAGACCTGGATTTTGGCATCTAAGGAAAGATAACGGAAGTTTGGACTGCTGGGCGGTTGTGAGACTCTTGTTGTGTGGGAAGTCAAGAAGAGGCTGTATTTTAGCCTTTCTATCATCAGAGAGAGGGCTTGGTCAGAGGATGAAGTGCATGAGGGCGGGGAAGGCGGGTGTGCGAGGGCGGGATGGCAGGCGTGGGCAGGGCGCCATGTGATGCCGCTGGAGCCACCGTTGTTTGGGACTCTGATCTGCACGAGGAATGACGCTGTCCGCTCTGCCTCATCACCCGCCGTCCGGGGTATTTCCAGGTGTCCGGCGCCACCCGGCCCCGAGCTGCTGGGGGCGGCGTCACGGGCGTGGACACCTCCCCGTGGCAAGCAGTGGTGCATCTCGGGAGGCCGCTCCGTCGGGTGGGAGAAGCCCCGGAGCCCGGGTTCGTGTTGCGCCTCCAGGGTTTACGGCCTGAGTCCGGTCTCCTGCCGCGAGGTGTTTTCCTGGAGCTGCAGTTCATCTGCACATCACCTTTGGCGCTTTTGTACAAGAATCAATCAGCAGCCAAGACCACGCAGCTCATGAGCCGATAGTACTGCTACCTGGGCCTTCAGGAAGTTTGCCGACCTTGCTCTGGGGCCCTGGGCGTGTCTATCCTTCGGAGCCTTGGTCTCCTCGTCTGGGGGACGGAGAGTGTGGTGCCGTCTCCTCCGGCAGCCTGTGCTCTGGGCGGTGCCGCATACCTGCCATTTAGGGACCGTGGAGCCACGGTCTGTGTTTCCGAGGAGTCTGTGGCCCGGCGAGGCCAGGCCAGTTCAGAGGCACGGGGCTGGCCTCAGGAAGCGGAAGGCGCGGCCGTTTCGGGCGCCGGGTTCCGAGGCCAAGTGGGGGCAAGAGTTTCCACCCCCCCACCCCCCTGCCCCGAGAAAGCTGGACGGACGGTCAGGGGCCAGACCTGCGGTGGCTTGACAAGCAAGAGCACGGTGAGCCATTGGGTCAGACGTGCCGAGTGAGGAAGGGACCCGTCGGCCGGATGGGGGGCTGGGATCGGCCCGGAAACCACAGCGGTCACGGTGAGGGCTGTGGCAGAGCAGGTGGAAAGAGGCGGGCGGCGGGGAGAGTTGGGGGGAGGGGAGGCCCCCTTGCAGCTCTGTTACGCGGGTCAGATGGCAGGCTGCCTGGGGTGCAGATCGCGTCCAGCTGCGGTCGACAGGAAACCTCACCAACAGGGACGTGTTTGCCTCGCGGTGGGCTGCTTCCCGGCACCGCCGCCCGGCGTTCGCCGTCCTTACTGCATCCGCTTTCCTGCTCGGGGGCGGGGGGGGG